GCTCCTTGTGGCCGCGGGTTTATGAAGTCACATGACAGGGATAGGCAGCCTCCTCCTCAGGCCACAGACCAGGGCTGGTCACAGGGCCCAGTGCACCAGCCAGGAGAACGGGAAGAGGGCTGACCCCAGACTGTCAATCACCTCTGTCCTAGGTCACAAGGTCCGGTAGGTGCTCTGCCTGGGAGCGTGGGGACCGTTGCTATGGGAACAGTCAGTGTGTCTGCTGACCCAGGTTCAGGAGAAGGTGACCTGGGATCTGGGCTCATCAACAGCTTCCCAGGGGGAGTGACAGGCACCTGTTGGGAAGGTCCTGCTCCCCATGGCCCACAGCCACCCACACCCTGGGGGGTAGGAAAGCCCCGGTGGGTGAGAGGAGAGGACACAGTCAGAGCCTGTGGCTCAGGGAACCCCACTCACGGGAGCCCCATGGGCCTGAGTGGCCTCAGCTGTGAGAGCGTCTCCCCCATAGACCCAGGCGCCCGCATCCTTCCTGGAGCAGCTCAGCATCCAGCCACCGTCCAGCTCGCTCACCCTGTCGAGACCCAAAGAAGGTTCCTGGGCCCAGGCCACCCATTTCCCTCCGACAGCCCCTCTCCCCAATGGCACTGAAGGTCAGGGTCCCAGCAGAGGTGACGGCCAGCCCTGTGCCTGGGCTTCCTCCCGGGCCTGAGGCTCCCCAGCCCCTCGCAGCTGAGAACCTGGTCCGTGTGCACAGGGCTGGGCAGGAGCCTTGGGCGAGGAGCCCGGGGACTGAGGGGTCACTGCTCTGACCTCTGGGTGCGGAGTCCGTGCTCAGGGGACGGGCCGCCTGCTGGGAGGGTCCTGGGCACTGGGAGCAGTTTCCAGAGCTGTTCCCTTATTTCAAATCAGAAACAGCCATCGCACGGACCTGGGCTTCTTACCCACGGAGGACAGGCCACCTTTCAGGGACATAATGACCATTGAGTTTTGGTGTTGGCTCAGATACATGGGATACAACATGGAAAGTGACCCATTATAAACCAGAAGGTACTTCCCTGTGTAGTTTGCACATGGAAGTTATGTTAACAGGTTCAGAGTTTAAACGAAGGCTCTGGGGAGGCCGAGGTTTTTGTCCCACTTCCCCATCTGTGTGTGTCACTGTGGGAACCACTACTGGTCCAGATCACACAGTAATAGTCGGCCTCATCCTCAGGCTGCAGCCCCGAGATGGTCAGGAGCCCCGCATTGGCCGAGGCGTCTTTGGATCCAGAGAAGCGGCTGGGCACCCCGGAGCCCAAACTTGTACTTGAGGAGAAGTACAGGAGAAACCGGGGAGGGCTCCCTGGCTTCTGCTGGTACCAGTATATGGTATAGCTGCCAACACTGATATCACTCCTCAGGGTGCAGGTGAGTCTGGCTGTGGCTCCCGGAGATGCAGAGAGGGAGGGCGGCTGAGTCAGCACAGGCTGGGAGAGGGACCCTGCAGACACAGACACTTGTCAGTGATGGGCAGGGACCAGGGGACCTTTCCCAGGAGACTGAGCAGGAAGGGAAGAAGCCTGGTCCCAGGCCTGTCCCTACCTGTGCAGTGAGAGAGGAGCGCGAGGAGCAGAGGAGTCCAGGCCATGGTGCTCACAGCCCTGAGCCCACAGTGGGGCTGGGCTGCCCAGGCCTCCTTTTCTCCCCCACCCTCTGCCAGAGGAGGGGCTGCCATGCAAATGGGAGTCCCTCCAGGGACTGGCCAGCCCCTCCCTGGGCCCTGGGGCTGGAGCTCAGCTCACACCCCAGACTGACGGGCATGGAGGTGGGCTCACCCCTTGGGGGCCCTGGGAGGAAGCACCTGCTGAGACCACACAGAGGGACCTGACCAGAGGATGTGGCTGCTGCTTTCCCCTCAGGGAGCACAGAGCATGGCCATGGGGCTCCTGTCAGTAAATGGTCCTCACTGAGCAGCTTGCATGACCTCAGGGCAGTCCCACAGTGCCACCTGCTGGTCACATGTGCAAAAATAAAAAACACTAAGATTTCTAACCTTAATTTAAACACTAGAGGACCAGTGCATGAAATTCATGCAAGGGAAGGGTCCCTAGGCCTTGCTGGTGATCAGGGCCGATCAGGTTTCCCGCCTTCCCACCTCCTCCTTCCCTCACTCCCTCAGCACCCCACCACTGCTCCCCCGCCATGTTCCGCACCGCCCTATGGTGGTCATCTCACGTCATAGCGAGCAATCACGCTCAGGTCTCCAGGTCGAACTCCCGAAGGGACACTTTGCTTATTAGCCTTTTGTATAGATAGATAGATAACATGCTTACTTTCCTTAAAAGTCACTAGTGTGGATGCATCAATGATGAAATAACTAAGAGACCAATGTTCTTATAAAACAGAAAATGCTGAGGGACGACTTCACGGAACGGGAAAGGCACAGTTTCACAGGCCCTGTCACAGGTCAGCAGATCAAATGGTTCCGATTCATTTTCACCCAAATTTCTCTAAAACATTTAACAAGATGTAACCTGTCCTGGTTGGTTTTAAAGCCGTTATCACAGCGACAAATGCTCCTGGAAATGATAGAAAACTAAAAATGACGGACATCATGCTAGATGTGGACACAGATGTCCTAAGTAACATGTCAGTACAGAGGTTCCAGGTCAGGATGAGCTGATGGGCTATGACCAAGGAGCCAGCAGCCGGCACAGGAGCCGCAGGTCCTGCTGAAGAGAACGGTCGCCTGCTCCCCAGGGCTTCTTGAGAGACCAGGGACACCCCACGGTGGAAACCAGAGAGGCCTCTCACAGCAGACTCACAGCTTCACGTCTCGGGTGACCAGCCCTGGGGGCCAAGTGAGGAAGCAGAGACCCAGCTTCCGATGGTCACGATGGTCACACGGACAATGAGCCTTTGGGCCACAGATTCAGGCAGTTTTCAGGCAGTTTTCGCTGAAACCAATGGAGGCTGGAGGGGAATTAAATCACTCACAGGAGATGGCGGGGGGGGGGGGCGGGGGCCTACAGCAGCAGGAAGAAGGGTGCTTCATGTCCTTTGAAGATCTAGGTATTAAAAACCTCCAAACCACCCATTCTTCTTCTTTAAGATATATGTTTATTGATTTCAGAGAGGAAGGGAGAAGGAGAGAGAGAGGATATTCAATGATGAGAGAGAATCATGGATCAGCTGCCTCTTGCACACCCCCCACTGGGGATGGAGCCCACAACCCAGACATGTATCCTGCCTGACCAGGAATTGAACCGTTCATCAGTCGATGCTCAACCACTGAGCCACGCCTTTTTAATCAGGCCACTTATTGGAGGACATCCCGCCACTCACAGCTGTCACAGACTCCAGGCACCGACTCCTGGCTGCTCTCAGTCTAGGGCAGTGGTTCTCAACCTTGGCTGCACATTAGAATCACCTGGGAATCTTGTTAAAATCCTGATTTCTGGGCCTCATCCTCCGGAAATTCTGTTTCTTTGTTACTTATGATGAGGCCTAGAAATCAGGATTTTAACAAGATTCCCAGGTGATTCGAATCTGCAGCCAAGGTGAGAACCGCAGTGGGGCCTGGACTTACGAGTTTAATTAGTTCCGAGACAGAGCTCCTTAAGGAGCTTGTTAAGAAGCTCATTAGCTCAAATTACTTTGTCAACTCAAAGCAAAAAATCGGCAGAGAGACAGCTGGTACCTCAAAAAACTCATTAGTCGGGACACTCGTAAGTCAAGCCCCACTGCACTTCTAGGGTAGGGGTCGGCAAACTGCGGCTCCCGAGCCACATGCGGCTCTTTGGCCCCTTGAGTGTGGCTCTTCCATAAAACAGGGCCTTCTGCACATGGGCCACGAAGTTTTAATCTCACGTACCACTGCACGTGCATGCACGCACGTGGTATTTTGTGGAAGAGCCACACTAAAGGGGACAAAGAGCCGCTTGTGGCTCCCGAGCCGCAGTTTGCTGACCACTGGTCTAGGCGGTTAATGAAGCTGCTATAGACTTCCACCTGCTGGTTTTTTGGAAACAGAAGATTCAGATTTATTTCAATTTATTTTTAATTGAGATGTAATTGACATTAATTAGTGTCAGGTGTACGACATAATGACGCTGTGAGGTGTAAACTGCAAAACCATCCCAGAATACGTCTCCTTGACCTCTGCCATCAGACGTGGCTACAAGTTTTGCTATTTCTTGTGCTGAGAACAGTTAAGATCCAGTCTCTCAGCTGCTTTCACAGACACAGTGTGACAGCGCCCCCTGCCGGGTCCCCATGCTGTCCACACTCCCAGAGCCAGGTAGTCACAGACTGAAGTGTCTCCTCCTGGACCCCTTCACCCACTGGGACCACCCCCTTCAGCGCCCACCATGGCACCCCCCAATCTGCTATAGTGACAGCTGTGAATGGCCGATTTTTGTGCTTAAAATCACAGAGCAAATAGAAACAGGTCGCACGGCTTAAAGGGAATAAATCCTGATGGGATGGAACAGGGCCAGGGGTCCTTCCAGCACAGCACACAGTGCTGAGCCCCAGCGGGGGCGGGGCCAACCAGCTGTCACTCATTTCAGCCTCAAAGGCCCAAGAGTGCAGCCCAGGGGGAGGGAACAGGCCCCTCTGGTGGGGAGAGGCCTTCCCTTCCTCCAGGACCCTGAGCCTGGGAAAGCGCTGCTCTGAGTGACATGGAGGCCAGAGGGGAGGGAGGACCGTTCACCCCCAGGCAGGGTCCCGGATGAACCAGGGCCCAGGGCAGTGATGGGGAACCTACGACACGCCTGTCAGAGGTGACACGCGAACTTAGTTTTTTGGTTGATTTTTCTTTGTTAAATGGCATTTAAATATATAAAATAAATATCAAAAATATAAGTCTTTGTTTTACTATGGTTGCAAATATCAAAAAATTTCTATATGTGACACGGCACCAGAGTTAAGTTAGGGTTTTTCAAAATGCTGACACGCCAAGCTCAAAAGGATCGCCATCATGGGCCTAGAGCGTCAGCGAGGGAATAAGCAGAAGCCACAGGTCACAGGCTGAGCTGAACAGGCAGCTGCTGGAGAGCTCACCCCCTCGCAGACCAGAGGGGTTTTTGTCTCACTTCCCCACAGGCCTGCAGCACTGTGGGACCGTTGATACTGCTGTCGTATGACTCGCAGTAATAGTCGGCCTCATCCTCAGCCTGCAGCCCCGTGATGGTCAGGGAGGCTGAGCTGCCAGACTTGGAGCCAGAGAATCGGTCCGGAATCCCTGAGGGTCGTTTGCTACTCTCATAGATGAGGGGTTTGGGGGCCTTTCCTGGGAGCTGCTGGTGCCAAGACACATGGTAACTCCCAATGTTGGAGCTGCTTCCAGTGCAGGAGATGGTGACCCTCTCGCCCGGGGACCCCGACACTGAGGATGGCTGAGTCAGCACAGACTGGGCCCAGGATCCTGCAAGAGGGGGAGACACAGAGATGGTGAGTTTGGGTGTAGAGACAAGAGGAGGAAGCAGGGCCCATGTGTCTTCCCAAGGCCCCTTCCCCGTCCCCTTATCCAGTCACCTGTGCAGTGAGCCAGGAGGGTGAGGAGGAGAGGGGCCCAGGCCATGGTGGAGGTCATCCCTGAGTCCTGCCTCCTGAGGCCCCACAGCTGAAGCAGAGCTCCCCACACCTCTCTTCTCCTCTCTTCATAGTCTGCAGGAGGGAGGGTCCTGTTATGCAAATGAGACCCCATCTATCTGATCCCTCCCTGGGCCCTGGGCAGGGCCCTCTGCCTGAGGATGGCCATTGGTGTGGGCGGGGGAGGGGCTGTGTGGGCCCAGGTTTGGGGAGGTCACAGCTGACAGCCCTGAGCAGATGGTCCTGGGCTTTGTCAGGGGCTGGTCCCAGCTCTGAGCACCCAGATCCTCAGGAGCAAACCCCCAGCGCCCTCTAGTGTCCAGGCCCAGACACACCATTGAGTGACATGGGGACCAGAACCCATGAGAGGACACCTCTGCCTTCCCCCTGCTCTGTCCACTGTCCCTGCCCCAGGGTCAGGCCAGGGTCCCCTCTATGGCCTCCCCTCACCTCAGGGCACCTTCAGTCTCTACTCGGCGTCCTCAGGGGGAGTCTGACCACAGCTCCCTGGGCTGGTCCGTGGTCAGGACTCAAGTGGCGGCTCCTGCACCAACTCTTAGACCAGGGTCAGGGCTCAGGTCAGGGCCAGAGCAGGGACAGCCCGTGGGGGCGCGTCCCCTTCTGTGCGGGACTCAGGTTCTGTCTTGTGTGGGATTCACTCCTGGTGGCAGGAGGCCTCCTTCCCGTGGACCCAGGGCCCCGAGGAGAAAGGGGCCCTTCCCCAGGGCTGGGCAGGGGGGGGAGGAAGCCCTCGTGGGCTGTCCTCGTCCGGGGTCAGGGGTCACTGTTATTTTCTGTCCATATTTCCTCCTCCTGACACCATCGTTCTCCATGAGCCGTGGGCTGTGCTCACTCCTGGGATCTGTTCTCAACGCACAGTCAGATGTTGGCATTTAGCTGAGAGGAAAAGGGGAACATGCAGGACGTGCTGAGCAAAACTGCGGTTAAAGTTTCTAATTGCTGTGCTAGGGCTTCATTTAATAACTTTACATATTAGTCACCACTCAGCCACCTTCACATGCCGAAAAGTGATTGTGGGTGAAAGAGACTTAAAGGAAGAGTGAAAAATAAAGGCACTTGGGAGGCAGGGGCAGCATGGCTGCTGAGAGGTGGGCGTGGCTCCTGATGGGTGGGCTTGGCTGCTGTGAGCTGGGCGGGGCAGGTGTGGCTGGCCTGGGTTAGGGGGCAGATGCTCACCACCCTTGGCCATGGCTCCCTGCCCTGGGGTGAGAGGTGGGTGTGGCACAGCCTGGGGCCCTTCCCACTGGCCCACGCCACCCTCACCCACTGTCCCTGGGCCGGCATGATGCACGCTGGCCACCATGTGCCGTGACCGCCTCTTGGGGACCTGGCTGTGGCTGGTGCCGCCGCCCTGGACGTGGACGGAGCAGAGCAGGCTGGTCCGGAGGCTGCAGAGACCATGGCCTCCCCGACCAGCTGGCTGAGGCCCCAGCAGCCGCCCCCCTCAGCCTCAGGTCAGCTCCTCTGACCCGGGTTCAGGGGCCCATCCTGTCCCTGTGGGACCTTCCCAGGGACCCGGGAACCAGCCCTCCCCACACCTGGTCACGGGCCAGCTGTGTGCAGACTCCACGGAGGCCCTGAGCCACATCTCCTCTCGGAGCCAGCGCTGCCGACCCTGACCCTGGGGCCGGCCTGACCCTGAGGACACCGCCCTGAGGCCCGGGAACAGGCCTGCCAGCTCGGAGCCACAGAAAAGGCCCAGCTGCAGCCCCATGAGCCACACAGCCCCTGCTGACCGCGATCAGAGATGCGATCCCATCAGCCCTTGGGAGTCAGAGCCAAGTGACCTCCTGGCTCCTGGGCATAAAGGGGGCCAAGGCAGCTGCTCCTTCAAATGCATAAATGCCCGCGGGGTTGGGGGTCCTGAGGGATCATCACATAGGACAGCAGCCTCGGGCTCCAATAAAGGGCCCTCAGGGACCCAGGAAATGGAGGTGCCTGAATACTCTGACCAAGAATTCAGAGTCAGCCTCTTCAAGATGAGGAAGGAGATAAAAAGATTCCGGATAAATAAACAATATCAGAACAAACAACAAAAACTCAGAACTTCAACTACAAAATACCATGCACCCCGCTTCCCCCTAAAAAGACGACAGAAAGTCCCTGGACATCAAGAGCGCAGAGCTGCCCAGGGGCTCAGAGACGCCCATGTGACACAGCTCACGCCCTTTCCCTGAGGCTCACAGGCTCCCCTCGGTCAAGGCCTGAGGCCAGCAGCTCCCCACCCTCCAGGAGGTGCTCACACTTCATGTGCAAACAGGAGGGCCCTGCTCACACTCCCCATCCACCGGGAGACCCTCCGCGTCCTCAGTGACCTTTTCCGTGACACAGTCAGGCTCTGTCACTGTGAGGTTCCATGGACGGACAGAGCCGGGTGTCACTGAGCTGTCATTACCGTGTCCTGTTCACAATCCCATTGCCCCTGAGGGAAGGCTTTGGGTTCACATCCACAGATTCTTCTTCTACTGAAATCTGTTCACACTCAATCTAGAGTTTCTCTCTCCCAAACTTTGTTCCTTAGAATCTCACTGTGAATCACATCACCTTCTTCAATATATTTTATTGATGTCAGAGAGGAAGGGAGAGGGAAAGAGAGAGATAGACAGAGACATCAGTGGTGAGAGAGAATCATGGATGGACTGCCTCCTGCCCACCCCAACCTGGGGATGGAGCCCACAACCCAGGCATGTCCACGGACGAGAAATCAAACCATGACCTCTTTTTTTTTTTAATTAAATCTTTATTGTTCAGATTACATTTGTTCCTCTTTTCCCCCCCCATAACTCGCCTCCTCCCAGTTCCCGCCCCACCCTCCGTCCTCACTCCCCACCCACTGTCCTCATCCATATGTGCACGATTTTTGTCCAGTCTCTTCCCGCATCTCCCATTCCCCTTTCCCCCCCAAGAATAGTCAGTCCATCCCCTTTCTATGTCCCTGATTCATTATAATCACCAGTTCATTCTGTACATCAGATTATTTATTCACTTGATTCTTAGATTCACTTGTTGATAGATGCATGTTTGTTGTTCACAATTTGTATCTTTACCTTTTTCTTCTTCCTCTTCTTAAAGGATACCGTTCAGCATTTCGTATAATACTGGTTTAGTGGTGATGAACTCCTTTAGCTTTTCCTTATCTGTGAAGCTCTTTATCTGACCTTCAGTTCTGAATGATAGCTTTGCTGGATAAAGTAATCTTGGTTGTAGGTTCTTGGTATTCATCACTTTGAATATTTCTTGCCATTCCCTTCTGGCCTGCAAAGTTTCTGTTGAGAAATCAGCTGACAGTCATATGGGTATTCCCTTGTAGGTAATTGAGTCTCTTTCTCTTGCTGCTTTTAAGATTCTCTCTTTGTCTTTTGCTCTTGGCATTTAAATTATGATGTGTCTTGGTGTGGTCCTCTTTGGATTCCTTTTGTTTGGGGTTCTCTGCGCTTCTTGGACCTGTAAGTCCATTTCTTTCACCAGGTGGGGGAAGTTTTCTGCCATTATTTCTTCAAATAGGTTTTCAATATCTTGCTGTCTCTCATCTTCTGGCACCCCTATAATTCTGATATTAGTGCGCTTGAAGCTGTCCCAGAGGCTCCTTACACTAT